GTAAAACGAGTTTCTAGTCCAAATAATGAGAACTGGTGCCAGAAACTGATACTGGCTAAGAAAAGCGCGTACCGGAAAGGTGCTCCGAAAAATATAATAAAAATATGGAAATTCTTGTAAAATTGAGTAGGTTAAGAATCCAAAGTTTGGGATTAAAATGCTAAGCGTAGCAATTAAAGCTAATATTGTGTGTTTTATTTGAAAGTAGCTATATATACTCATTTAAGGGCACATTGCCCTGGATACCAGATTTTCCTTCGTGAGAGAGGCTGACCAGCTGCTTGAGCACTGTTCCATTGGTCTCCTTCACCTTCTCTTGAGCCAAGTTGGGACCTTTGGCATTGATCCTTCTCTTTTCTTCTTGTAAACACTTGGGAATCATCTTGTGAGGGTGTGAGGGTGCCTTGGGGTTTTAGTCACTGTTTCTGGTCAGGGAGTGTGCTGAGTTGGGGTGTGGGTTGAGAGCCACCTTCTTCTTGGTTTGTGAAGCTTCAAGAAGCTACCTTTGTGAAGAAAGGAACCATCTTGTGATAGCATTTTCGTGTTCTGTCCTAGTCAGAGGTTGAGGGACTGTTGGTGAGCTCCAAGAGCCTCTTGGTTCTGAGTTTTGAGCCTTGGTATGTTGTACCACCCTTTGATCATGAGTTTTATGCTTAAAAATGGAAGATTGATGCATGTTAAGGCTAAAAGATATCAAACACACCTAGAAATGCATGTTTAAGTGTTTAAAATCGGTAAAAACCCAACTTTTGAAGGATATCTTCACGAAATGCAGTTTCTGCATTCTGTCGTGAAATATCCGGATATCTGCCCGTGGAATATCTGGATATTGGATATCCAGATATGGTATCCGGATATGCGATATCCGGATATAGGATTCTGGATATCCGGATATGCACAGTGGGATATCCGGATATTGCATATCTGGATATACACCCGAGGAATATCCGGATATTCTAGAATTTCGTAGAACAGTAGCTGTGTTGTGTGTACAGTAGGCTATTGGGGGTTTGTGGACCCTAGATTGATGAAGTTGAACTTCTTTAATTAATGGACTAAGTCAAAATCATGTGATTAAGGGCTTGTAGCTTTATTGGAAGCCTTAAGACGTAAATCGTTAAGGAGAACGTAGTCTTTATGTTAATGCTTTTGAGTTATGTATGTTGATACACTTGCTGGTCCTAAATCAGATTGTGATCTACTGTGTGTTGGACTTGAGCTGTGAGGACTCTTGGCATTGGATAGTGAGCTTGCAAGGTAAGCTTTCGTGTCCTCGGTTTAGCCATGTTGTGGTTCCACCATGTCCCATGGGGGTATGGTATATGCATGCTGTGTTACATGCTTTTGATGTTTTGGAAATGTTGTTGAGCTATTGTATGTTAGTGCCTTGTTGATATGCATGGAGGTGTTCCACCTATACGGTAAGCCTGAGTATGTAGAACATACAATAGGGTGAGGCTGTGGGTGAGGTGCAAGCGGTGTTCCTTGTACTACATGTAGGTATAGACGTATTCCTACATTTCTCTTGCCAGTAGAATAGTGATTACACACATGCCATAGATATCTGTTGCACTACATAGTTTTGGAACTGATAATGATATAAATGCTTTTAGAACTTATATTGCACATGTAAGTGAGCTTGGGGTGGAAGATCCTTGAGGACCCCTTGTCTTACTGAGATTTCTTGTTTAGAGATCTCACCCCACGTTTGGGGAATGCTTATTTCAGGATCAGGTAATGTTGAGACCTTAGGCGGCAGGAGGCCGGAGCTGAGTTAGATTTGCTGTTATTTATGCTGACATATTGGATGCTGGATTTGCATGCTGCTTATATGCTTATAGCTTCAGTTCATGTTTATGGAGTTTTATGTTAAGACTTGTTGTTTACGCTGTTTATTTGGTGAGCATGGGGATTGTCCATGACACATAGTATTGTTTCGTCTTGAGTCTTTTGGGAGTTGTAATAATGTATCAGGATATTGTCCGAATTACGAGATGTAATGCCGTGATTTAGATACACACTTTATTTATATATTGAGGTATTTCAGTAGATGTCTTATTGCAATTTACATTCAGACAATATTTTATGAAATTGATTAAGTAATCAAGTTGGTAATTGATAATGACGTCATAATTGAAAAGAAAAAGAATATTTCGCATTTTTAATTAAACACCGCTTAATACGATGTAATGATAACACTACCGGATATATACGGGGTGTTACATTGCACATGTGGCCTAAGTCTACTTAAGTGAGTGGGTCCCACTTGCCACCTCGCGCAATTCCAATTATTTCGAATCTCCCGCTTAAATTACTAATCTCCAATTAATAGCTAGGCTATTTAGAAACTTCAATTTTTAACATTCGCCAAAGTCCTTTAGTTTCCCTTGAGTAGATGAATCCGGAGTTTTTCGGTCATTCGGTGAAATCAGAGTTTTAAGCTGTTAGGTGCACTGTTAGCACGTTTCCCCAAAAACCCTAATTTCAATCAATTTTCATCAATAATCATACATCTTAGTCCTATGTTCTTTTTCCATCTTATTTCCAAGACTAGAGCTCAAATTTCATTCGACATGCGTTTCGGTGCAACTGTATCGTTAAATTTTGCCCGGTAAAAATAATATTCATCAAATTTCCAGAAACTTGCCTAACCACTACATTTTTCGTTATGAATCCATTTCTAGAGTTAGTTTTCCCATTAGAGGCCTTTTACTAACATTTCATTGTCTAGGGTTTCGTGTTTGGCAATTTATCGTTTTACCTTTTTTACGTATTTCGACCCAGAACTCAAGATTTTCACTAATCCTACCCTTAAATCTTTATTTTAACTATAATTAAGTGTTTTAGAATTTAAAAGTGTTATAGTACTGACTTGGAATAAATCGCCTTCTCATGACAGCTTTCATTTCTTCCCATGTTTCAATGGGTCTTTCACCATGTCTCCTCTTGTTTGACACAAATTGATCCCACCAAACAATAGCATAATCAGGAAATTCTATGGCAACCAATTTTACCTTTTTCAATTCTTAGTAGTTATCACAATCAAACACCAACTCCATCTTTCTTTCCCACTCCAAGTAAGCTTTTGGATCATTTCTGCCTTGGAAGGATGGAATCTTCATCTTGATACTTCCTAGGTTATTATCAACCATTTCTTCATTACGCACTCTTCTTCCTTCATTTCGACGCTCAATATGCCTCATATCAACCGTAGAATTGGTTTCATCTTCATTTTGATGTTCTGAAGTTTTGCGTTGTTGCTCCTTTTGTTCAACTCTTTCTATTCTATCTTGCATTTCATCGAACTTGAAGTTCAATCTTTCAAATCTCTGTGTCATGGCTTCAAAGTAGAATTTGAAATCTTTAGGAATTTGAGCATCACCCTCTTGAGACTTTTTTTTCTTTTTCTTTCTTTCTTTTTTGCTTCTGAAGATACTAAGATTTTTTTTTGAACATTACCAATGGGAGTAGTTGACATAAGAAGGAGAATGAAATACAAATAAAAAAGGTTAACAATAAAATAAGGATAGATCAAACCTGATTTAGAAGACTAGCTTTGATAGCAAATGATATGAACCTCATCAAGAATAGTGAGACCCAAGACCAGTTTAGTTAGGATCGTTTCTACAATCAGGAATTTAAAACAAGAAATAAAGAACCTTGACCCATTATCTATGGAAGATAAGAACCAAAGGTATAAGAAGGATAAAGACGCCACACTCAAGAAAGAAGAAGGTGAAAGGTGAGTGATAAGCCTGTGTTGAACGCCACAAGAAAAGTTTCTTGATAAGTTCAGAGTTCTAGATAAGAACCAAAGAGAAGAAACCTCTCTATTTTAATATAACTTCAAAATCTGATTACAAGAGTTATATCCTCCCTTATTTATACTTGGAACATCCCTCCAAGAATATGAAAAGAATAGCAAATGAAAAGACACTAATTTAAAGTTGACAACTTGAAAAAAGGAAAAACTCTAATCAGCCCACTAAACATTAATGACATTGAAAATGTTAATCAACCTCACTAAGCATTGATAACATTGAAAATGCTATCAGCCCAACTAAGCATTAATTGACAATGGAAATTGCTACTCATTCCACTCAACCTCCATTACATTGATGACATTAACTAAATTCTGATTATGAATAGATTTGGAGTTGATGTCTTCATGATTAGTCCACATTTGCTGGATTAACCCACCAAGAGCTTCTTTAAACTTCTTAGCCCTTGATCTTGTGATTGACCCATTTGGCAATTGCAATGGATCACTAGATGTTGTCTCCTTTATGATTTAGTAGTCGAAGATAAAGTTACTCAAGCAACTTGAGAAACGTTAACTATATATATATATATATATATATATATATATACACACACACACACACACTTTTTGAAGAAAAAAGATAAAAAGAAAATTACGGCACGCAAAACGAATCTCTATAACATTACACAGTCACTTTTCGTAGAACATAATTCTTATAAAACCCATATATATATATATATAGGAAAAAACATTTCTCCAGCAACTTGAGATAAGTTTATCTCCGGCTACTCCAAAACTACGTCGTTTTGTTTATTTATTTTCTTATATTAATTGATTTACCTTTGAATGGTTACGATTCCCTTTTTCTCTCTCTTCTATTCTTCTATGTTTGTGATTTAGTAGCCAGAGATAAAATTATCTCAAGCAGCTTGAGAAACGATAAGCATATATATATATATATATATATATATATATATATATATATATATATATATATATATATATAGGGGCAAGATATTCTTACACTGGTGTAAGAGTTAAAAGTCTTACACTCAATCTTGACCATTGATCCACTTGTATCCAATGGCTCACATTACTAAAAAATTTGAGCCGTTAGATATAAATGGGATCAGTGGACAAGATTAAGAGTGTAACTTACACTGGTGTAAAATGATCCTAACCCATATATATATATATATATTTCAAATCCCTAAATGAGGTGGAGCAAATAATTTCATGTCGCGTAAGGGAGAACTGAACTAGGGTTTGTTCATAATATAAATATCAATTATTGAACTTCATTTCTTCCCTCTCCCGTTTGTAAGACCGTGCTGCCTCACCTTCACTGTCACTCTCCGCAAGATGGCTGTTACCTTATCAGATCTCCACACAGAGTCAGGCCTCAAATCCCTTGATGAATTCCTCTCTGGCAAGACCTATATTTCTGGGTAACGTACTAACATCCACCCAAATTTCCTTTTTTATTTTTTCATTTTTAATATAATTTTCAGTTTTTAGTTTCTGTTTTCTTGTGTCTGGGATTTCCCTGATTTGTTCTGTTTGTGAGTTTGATTGGGTTTTCAGGGATCAGTTCACAAAGGATGACATCAAAGTGTTTGCAGCTGTTTTGGAGAAGCCGGGGGACACTTTTCCCAATGCTAGCACGTGGTACGATGTTGTCTCTTCTCATCTTGCTGCAAGGTTTGTTCCTCTACTCTTATACGCAAATTGGTCTGATTTGTTTTCTCTTTTTGTGATTTTTTAAATCTGGGATTTCATTTGATGTTGTTAAATCCTTTTTTTCTTTTTCTTTTTTGTTAATTTCTTCCTTTTTTGTATGCGAAGCTTCCCCGGAAATGCTCAAGGGGTAAGATTCAGTGGCAAAGCTGCTGCTCCAGCTGAGGCTGCACCTGCAAAACCGGTATTTTGATTTCGAATATGTTTGTTACTTTAGTTCTTTGATGCCATTTTGCTATTCATTTATTAAGAAAAAACAAAAAAAAATGGAACTTTATTTTGTATCCACATTCATATGTTTGCTATAATTCAATTTTGGAGGCAGTACATTATTTTGCAGTGCGCACATTATACAATTGCATAATAGTGACTTTGAGTTTTGACTCTATAAAATTACTTAACACTGATGTTTGTTTGATTGGGTTGGTTTTGAGTGATGGGAAGTGGTGGGACTTGTGAATGGTTTATAATAGAGTGGAGCGGAAAATACTCTATACTATCTGTATGTTGAAAAAAGACGAGAGGAGTGGAGTATTTAGGAGTGTAATATTTTTATAATAATCTAGTGATTTGCTTCTTCTTTTTAAATAATGTTTTTCTCCCCATTTCTTCCCAAACCCCCTTACTTGGAATTTTGGAGTTGGAGCAGTATGAAAGGTTTTGATGCGCCCTCCTAACCACTCCAATCTATTGCTCAAAAGTTTCCCAAACAATGGGTTGGCATCATAAGCCATCCCACTCCATTGCTCCAAATTTACCTTTAATTAGGACTATGAAAGGTAGATTATTGTTGTTTTAGTACTTTGCCTAGGCTAATAAGCCAATCACTTCAAGTCTTAAACTAGTTTATTACTGGGATTTATTTGAATTTGCCAGGATGCTTCTGCTGCTGAAGATGATGATGACCTTGATCTCTTTGGCGATGAGACTGAGGAGGAAAAGAAGGCGGCTGAGGAAAGGGAGGCTGCCAAAAAGCCTGCCAAGAAGAAAGAGAGTGAGTTTTCTCTTAAGCTGTCCATGAAGCATTTACGTAACTAAAATATTGAGAAAAAGTTTTCTTTGAATTTATGTAGCTCACTTGATTGCCTGTTTAATGGGAGTTAGGAACATTTAGTTATATGGTGAAATTGCACTACGTTATCCGCTCCTCTTTTCTTTCTTGTTTCCCTGCTGAAAGTGGTTAAAACTGACGTCATTTGGCTTTTTAGGTGGCAAATCTTCTGTTCTTCTCGATGTTAAGCCTTGGGATGATGAGACAGACATGAAGAAGTTGGAAGAGGCTGTTCGCAGTGTTGAGATGTCTGGTCTATTGTGGGGAGCATGTATGTTAACTTTTCTTACGTTTTATCCTACATATCTGATGCATATACCTTCTATATATAATGATGTGAACAAAATGCTTTGTTGATATTGATACAGCCAAACTGGTTCCTGTTGGTTATGGGATCAAGAAGTTGCAGATCATGTTAACCATTGTTGATGATCTCGTATCCGTGGACTCCCTTATTGAGGAGCATCTGACAGTTGAGCCTTGCAATGAATATGTCCAAAGCTGTGATATTGTTGCATTCAACAAAATTTAAGTGTTTTTTGTTGAACTTCAGTGTAGCCATTTTCAAGCGGCTGATTAGTCTGTTTTTCTTTGATAAATCTCAACCCGCCCCTTTTCATCTTTTATGTCTAGTTTGTGTTTCAGTGGTGATTTATTACTAGAATTCTGAGAAGTAAAAGATATATATTCTGACCCCTTTTTTTTTTTATAGATTTCTTCACTTGTTAATTGATTATCTGATTAATCCACTTCGAGTTCGGTCGAACTTTTATAAGGGATAGTTCTCCAAATAATTCTGAATATCTTTGTTAGTGTTCTATCAATTTATTCTTGAAAAACTGAAGTGTGGGATTAAAATTAATGAGTGTGGGATTTCCATGTAATTGTGGACAGGACTTCATTTTGTTTACATTAGAGGTGCGACCAGCAGTAGTGTTTTTAAGTAGCTCTTTGGATCCCAAGATCAAAACTTCCATCCTTGAAGTAACACTTTTTAAGAATCCGTTTTCATCAAATGTGGGTCGAAATTGTGTGGGCAATATATATATCAAAAAAAAAAAAAAAATAGGTGCTACTTCCTAGGGTATGAGAGGGGAAAAGGTGACTCGTGAAGAACCAAGTTTCTTACATATTCAAACCAAAGTCTTTCTAATGACTCTTGAGCCAGTAAGCACGATGGCTCAAACTAAAACTTTTCTCAGTGTAATATTTAGCTTCAGATTGAAGCATAAAACCGCCACCCGCGTTTGGTTATTGCCTTGTAGTAATAATTTGTTTATCTTATGATCTTTTGTCATTTTTCACTAGGATATTGTCAGTCATGATTAGCTGACAGTTGCAAAACTTTTACCTAGGTGTCATTTGAATCGAGTAACGTCAATTAAACTATCTTGTAGTTGTCGACATATAAAATGCATGCCCAATGCACTATTACAATAAATAATTGTTAGTGTGATATAATGCATACAATTTGGGTTATTTGAATATTTTGTAGTTCAAAAAGTATGTTAATATGAGTGTCTAGCTTGTAACTAAGTCGTTCAAAAAGCTATCAAAAAGTAGGAGCGCGTGAGGGAGATTTTTTTTGCTCTGCTAGGGTTTCGTGGGTTTTTTCGGATTTTTTCTCATTTCTAGGTGACGAGGTTGGAGAGAAGGGGAAGACCCCCTGATTCAGAGGATGTGGTAGCGAGAGACAGGGATACAAAGAAGGCTAAGGGTGAGGGATTGGTGGATCTGGACATGCATGATTCGAATCTGGTAGCGGGCGCTACGGTGGAGGAGGAAATGTTGACGAAATTGAGTAATGGAGGACCTGAGATGACGGGGAAGGGTGAAGGATTTCTCAGGGATCCTAGGAAGCTGGTTTCATATAAGGACCAGCTTCTCCGCGTGAATGGTGTGTGGGATGATCGGCAAGCTGATGAAGATGAGGATTGGCTCGCTCAGAGCAGAAGAGATGAATTGGATGAGGAGGAGGCCATCAAAGCGTACGAGCAAACGCAAGAGGATGATCCACTGGATCCTTACTATCAGTTTGATGTTCTGGAGAAAGTGGACCAGTGTAAGAAGTGGAGGATGGCGCTCACTATGAAGCTGATGGGGAAGAGATTGGGGGCAAGGTTCCTATGGAATAGATTACACAAATTGTGGAATCTTGAAGGAGAATACAAAGTGCTGGACTTGGAGAATGATCATTACATGGTGGAGTTCGAAAAATGCAAGACTACTTGTTTGTTCAACAACAGGGGCCTTGGGTTGTAGCTGATCACTATTTAATAGTGCAGAGATGGAGACCGAACTTCGATCCTTATGATGATGGTGTGAAGAAGTTAGCGGTGTGGATTCGAATACCTGGAGTTCCTCGAGAGTTCTATACCTATAAGGACCTTTGGAGGATGGGGAACATGGTGGGCAGGACTCTACGGATTGATGCAAGTTCCTTGAGGCACAGTGGACTGGAACAACAAGAGGAAATCATTGAGCGAGGTAAATTTGCCCGTATCTGTGTTGAAGTTGATTTGAGTAAGAGTTTACTGTCGAAATTTAGAATTGGCCATAGGCAACTGTTTATTGGCTATGAGGGGCTTCACCTCATATGCTTTTGTTGTGGACAATATGGCCACAGGAAAGATCATTGCATGTTTAACCCTGAAAATATGAGGAGATCTGAGAAGGGGATAGGTGAGGAGGGTCAGGCACTTACTGAAATCCCTAGTGGTGGGATGATGGGAAATAAACAGGAGGTGGAGAGAAGTCAGGAGGAAGATGGATTCAGAAATTGGATGACGGTCCAGAGGAATAATAAGAATAGGAAGATTAATCAGCAACCAAAAACCAAAGTAATGAGTATAGGGAAAGGGAAACAGGAGGGGGTTGGCCTGGACCAGGATATCAGGAATGGGGCTTCAGGCTCGAGGTTCTCAATGCTAGGAGAATTAAAGGAAGATGGTACCCTTGGGTTGGGTTTGCATACAGATGAGGCAAAGCAGGAGGGCTCAGGTTTGGCCAAGGAAAGTGGTTCGAGCTCTAATGGGTCTGAGACAAGAAGAAAAAAGGGCAGCACTGGGGGGATTGGGAAGTTATATACCCAAAAACCTCATGCTCATATGGAGGCAAATAAAAAGAATGTTGTGAGTCAGGGGAATGGGATGAGCAAGCTGCAAGGGAATGCTAATGATCAGAGAGAAGCCATTCTTATTAAGTCAACAAGTTTCAATAAGAGTTCGGGGAGAGGGGTAACAGGCCAGGGGATCTTGATGGAGGGAAGTAAAAGGACTGGACAGGGGTTTATATTGAAAGATAAACCTCCAGATGCTCTCATGGAAGGAAAGAAGGTAGACAAAATGAGCAAGGATCCTATGATCTTGGATGATATCACTAATTTTGGTGGTGTTCAGAAACCTAAGGTAACCGGTTAATTTTGGAGCTGTTTGGGTTCTAGGTTACTGGTTTTATTTGTTTGTTATGATAGTTTGTTCGTGGAATTGCCGTGGAGCAGGTAAAAAGGGTTTTTCCTCTCTAATTAAAGATATAGTGTACCAGAATAACATTCAGGTTCTGGCTTTGTTGGAAACTAGAGTGAGTGGTAGGAGGGCTGACAAAATTATTAGGAGTTTGGGGTTTGACAGTTATTTTAGAAGAGAGGCAACTGGATTTTCTGGTGGTATTTGGTTGCTTTGGAATAAGAGTGTGACGACTGTGTCTGTGTTGTTGGATGAACATCAATTTGTCCATTCAAGACTATACTGGATAGAGAATGGGAAGGAAGAATTTTTCACTTTTGTATATGGGAGTCCGAGAAGGATGGAGAGGAGAATCCTTTGGGAATGCCTTAGCGAAATTGGTGTGGATATGGGGAATAATTGGGCTGTTATGGGGGATTTTAATGCTTTTTTGGAGAAGAATGAGAAGGAAGGAGGTAGTGAGGTGTGTTGGGGAAGTGTCCAGGAATTCTCTAACTGTATTAGTGCTTGTCAACTTGTGGATTTGGGTTTTTCTGGGCTCAAATTTACTTGGAAGAGAGGAAAACTTAGGGAAAGGATTGATAGAATCATGGTGAATGAGTCCTGGCACCTGAATTTCCCTAATAGGTCCATTCAGCACTTGTTGTTTAATGGATCAGACCATAGACCAATTTTGCTCAAGGATGATTCTCGGGTTAATGCAGCTGGGGGTAGCAAACCTTTCAGATTTTTGGCAGCCTGGTTGACTAATGAGGACTTTGGTTCGGTTGTGAAGTCTTATTGGCATCAAAATTCTAATTGGCTAGAAGCTAGAGATAAATTTCAACAGGAAGCTGTTCTCTGGCATCATAATATTTTTAAAGCCTTACATAGAAGGAAGAAGAAATTCCAAGGTAGACTTAGAGGGCTGAATTTTGAGTTGAGTAGATGTCCTAGTGAGACCATGGAAAGGTTGCATAAGGAACTATGGTAGGAATTAAACTCAATTTTTGTCCAGGAGGAATTGACCTGGTTTGAAAGAGCTAGATCTAAATGGCTGGCTTTTGGAGACAAGAATACAAAATTTTTCCACTCTGCCACTGTTGCAAGATGTAGGAAGAACAAAGTCAAAGCCCTTAGGAATGATGGAGGTGATTGGGTGGAAGAGCCTGAGGAGTTAAAGTGCTTAGCTGTTAGTTTTTTCAAAAATCTTTATATGGAGGAGGTTCAAGCTGACACCAGTATGAGTATAGGGAATTTATTTCCTACTATTGATAATCAGAGTTGGAGGAATATGGGGGCAATTCCGGATTCTGTTGAGATAAAGAGCACCTTTTTTAGTATGAAGCCTTTTAAGGCTCCTGGTGTGGATGGACTGCATGCAATGTTTTTTCATTCACAGTGGGATAAGGTAGGGGAAACTGTGGTTAGGTGGATAAAAGAAATTTTTGAAGATCCTAGTAAGGTGGATAAGATTAATCAAACCCTCATATGTTTGATTCTAAAAGTTGACAGCCCTGAGTTGATTAGTCAATTTAGGCCCATTTCTCTGTGTAATTTGATGTATAAGGCGGTCACAAAGATAGTTGCAGGGAGGGTGAGGAACCACTTGTGTGACCTGATCATGCCTAACCAATGTAGTTTTGTTAAAGGTAGGCACTCATCAGATAATATCATCATTGCACAGGAAATTATTCATTCCATGAGGAATAAAAAAGGGGCTAAAGGATGGATGGCAAAGGTGGATTTAGAGAAGGTATATGATAGGATAAGCTGGGAGTTCCTTCAGGAGACCCTTGTGGAGGTTGGATTTCCAGATTCTTTAATTAGGATCATTATGGCTTGTGTGTCAACTTCAACTATGAATCTTTTGTGGAATGGGTTTCAAACAGAGGAATTTAAACCTACGAGAGGGATTAGGCAAGAAGATCCTTTATCTCCTTACCTATTTGTCTTGTGGATGGAGAGATTGGGTCATTTAATTCATAATGCTTTTGACCAGAAGATGTGGAAACCAGTGAGGCTTGGTAAGAAAGGACCCCCCATCTTTAACCTATTTTTTGCTGATGATCTCATGCTGTTTATGGATGCTGAGGTTAATCAAGCTGAAATGGTTACCAGGATTTTGTCCTAATTTTGTCTGGGTTCGGGTCAAAAGGTAAGTGAGGGGAAAACCAAAATTTTCTATTCAAAGAATGTGAATCATATTAGAAGGAAAGATCTTGGCCAGATTATGAAATTCTCATCTACAGCTGATTTGGGTAAGTACCTAGGAGTGCCTATCTTGCATAAAAGGGTTAATAAGAACACTTTT